TGAGTTCTGGTTTTAATTCTGTTGAAGGGAACTCCCTATTCACCAGAATCAGATGATAGATAGATATATTCAGTTTTACATTTTAAAAATTAAAAATTACTAAGTACGCATTTCTTTTAATGCAAACTTTATTTGACTCAAAGAAGTTCGTAGTAAGATTTCGATTCTACTGGAGACCACCGGAGGGATTTTATTTTCACTGGAGGGGTTTCAAAAAATGCTTTTTACAATTTAAAACTTTATGTGGCTGACTGCCGGGTGGAGCGGGAGCTAAGGTGAGCGGGGATTTGACACATGTGGTGTGCTTGCTTCCTGTGTACACACACATTTAGAGAATTAACGTCGGCATTTGAGTCGGAAAAATCGTCTTCCTTATATTTCGAATTTGTTTTAACAAGGCCCCCTACTGCGGGTTAAATTAAAATGGGATTTTAATTTAACAAAGATTAAAATAAATTCGAAACTTTAAAATCCAACCAACCAATTTATAACCCGCCCAGATTTCCATATTTCATAATGTTGACTTTAAAAGTCAATATGATAAAATAAAAGAGATCTAACGGTATTTCTAATCTTTATTTATAAAAACAAAAGGTTATGAAATATTTTCCCAAGTGGGGCTTAAATTGGCTGGTATAGAAATTAATAAAGAAACTATAGACGAATATCGGTTGGAAAGAGTTTGTAGAGCTTCATGATGGTGGTGCAGATCATCNGATATCTGAATCCCTCCAGTGGAATTATAAACCCCAAGGAAGGATAACTGAATCCCTCCAGTGGAATTATAAGCCCCCAGGAAGGACATCTGAATCCCTCCAGTGGAATGTAAATCGCCCTGCGTAAAGTTTTGAATTGTAAAAAGCCTTTTTTCAAACCCCTCCAGTGAAAAAGAATTCCCTCCGGTGGTCTCCAGTGGAGTCAAAATCTTACTACGAACTTCCGTGACTCACTTTATTTTTATTTTTTTTATAATCTTCAATCTTAAAGGGAGTGTTTTTGAAAGGCTTGCCCCTTTCATTTTTCGCGAAAACTCCCTTTAATATCAGAATAAAGATTGCTTATTGTGGAATTCAACGAGCCTAAACAAACCTAATTTAGTTTTAGTACCATTTCGGAACTGGTTTTCCTTTCCAAAAAGAAGTTTAATATTTTATGAGTTTTATATAATTTGGCGCACATTATTTTTAAAAGTATCAATTTGAATTGGTTTTGTAAACATTTGAAACTTTAAACGTTGTCCAATTGATCTACCAGGTTTTATAGATTGAAATAAAAAAGATCTAAGACATCAGGTTGAAAATGATTAGAATTTGAGGGAAACAATAAATTCTTTTAAAACAAAGATTAGCCTAAACAATACCCCCATCATACCACTGAAATATTTAAAACAAAATCTCAAATCTGACAAATGTCAAATATTGACATTGGATCAAAATTTTCTCAAATTCCGGAGATAATTACTTAAATCCATATCTTCTAATTCTCATCAAAATTTACATAATTATCTATCGGAGATCTTCAACATGTCAAAATGTATCATATTTGTAGAGAAGAAAAACACAGTAGGGATAGGAAGGGGAAACGAGATAATAGGAGTAGAGATGGACATCATTTAGGATAATAGGAGTAGAGAAAGACATCGTTTAAGTGAACGAAAGAACATTTTCGCACTGAAAAAAACGAGCAACGGACCAACGAATTGGATCATTCGTTTCTTCCACTACTAAGAAGTAAAAAATAAGTACAAATTTTCTTAAGGGGATGGGAAAATAAAGATAAAAATGAGGAAACTAGAACAATGAAAAATGTTGTAGCCTGAAATAAAATCCTACAATTTTTCAAGTTTTAATTTCAACTTTAACGAATTTACATAAATAAAAATACGTTTATTGAAAAGGTGCTTTATAGTGCAAATAAAACTGCAAGCATGTAAGCTTGCAAATACCCATAAAAGGCTTTAATGCCGTATATATATCTATTCCATTTAATTCGATTTTGCACAAATTTTGCAGTTTTAAATCTGCAACAATATAGGACTGATTGCAGGGTATATAGACACAGATAATCCCCCTTGTTATCCACTATAGATAGATAATTAGATAAATAGACACATAGATAGATAGTCGGATAGATAGAAAGGTAGGTCGGTTAATAATTTCCAAGGTAGATGGGCTCTTAGGTAACTCACGCACAGCCAGTGTACATTTGGATATACGAGCTGGACCAACCTTTGCGGTCCTAGTTTGGACTGTACAACAGACTAACACAGACAGCTCATAAGCTTTACCTGGATAGGCTAAGCAGGCCTACAGTATCCCGGCACACAATGATACAGTTACATGAAAGGCCAACTAACGTACACTTGTTGCATACAATAACCATTCAGGGGCAGTTTTACAACTTTTCAAGAAATATTCTTGAAGATTTTGTATTTTGTATCCTAAGGATCCTTAAATGTTCCAGAATACAGATGTCTGCTAATTGGTCGTGTACAGTACATACTTGTACACAAACACAATAGAACGTGTTGTGGAAAATATCGAATATTATAACTTTCAATTAATCTCTGTTACTCTCTTATATCTTGACTGTACCACCAATTTACAATAACTATGCAAAGCGGCAGACCTGTGTAAACTGTAAGTAATTATGTAAGTAGGTAAGTTGGAACTATAGGAGATAAAAAAAAAATTTGAATGAAAGGAAATGGAAAAGGAGGCAGGGGGAGCTGGGGGAGAGTAAGACAATAAATAGCGGACGCATATTTCATAATATTTAATATTTGCAATATTATTCTTGCCTTGTCAAGCTGTCATGCGTATTCAAGTTTGCATCAGTTTATTGCATAATGCATGCAGGGATTTAATTTAGACATTAACTGCGTTACATCTCAGTTGGGGTCTTATCAAAACACAGGGGGGAAAAGAGTTTTTTGGTGTTCTAAAAACTGTAAAATTTGTATCCTATTTTTTTCATTGAATAACAGCGTTTTAAAATAAAATTTTGACTTTCTGTAAATCTGCGAAAATAATGATTTAAATTTATTAATTTTTTCCACTACCCTGGATAATAAAAATAGGTCAAAATATTCTGCGTGTGAGACAGCGAGCACATTATTGTTTATATGTATTTAAATTTTTCTTTGTTCCTTATCTTCTCAATTGTAGAAGTATTTGTGTCAGAAATATTCTGTCTTGAGAGGACATTTTTATGCCCTGTATTTCAAACATGTCCCCTAGCATAATTTAATATTTTTTCTTGATTTATTTTTTATTTTATTCACAATTCTTTTTTCTTTATATTTTTCTCCATTTAACCACCCCCTTCATCTTTTTATAGTTCTTTTGTTTAGATATTTTATTTTTTAGACTTTTTACACTGTATTACAAAATTATGATTTTTTATTTACACACCTAATAATAAATACAGTATTACAGATTTATTATATGTTAAATTTGAATAAAAATGTTATCACATAATTAGATTTTACATTTTACATAGCTTTTTTCGAATGTAAAAGTACAATTATTTTGAAATGCTAAAAGTAAGAAGCAAGATAAGAAAAATCCTCTTTTTGACAAATATTAATAAAATATTTCATAAAACGTTTTTCTGCTCAAGTTTAAACATCCCTATTGGAAATTTGAGCGTAGAGAAATAGACCGTTACGACTGGTAATTAAGATATGAGTCGGTGTGCAAAGTGATGAATTTTGACAATTTAGTAAAAATCCTAAACTCGTCTAAAGATACTGGATATTAGATAGGTTTTAATAGTTCAACTTTTTGTCAAGCAGGTGCAAAGCAAATACCAAATATATTTCAATATATATCTATTCGCATCTTTTTACTCATTCATCTTTTAATCTGACTTCATCAGATATATTTATACTAGGCTTTTAGGACGCTTCTCGCCCATTTTCTATTTCAATTGTCAACATTTTCTCTTTGTATATATTGTAAAACAAACCAAAAAAAAAGTTCGTGGATTTATAAAAAGAAATTCGTGGATTTTCAAAAATAATGAAAAATGAATTTTGTTGGAGGCAAATATTTGAAACTTTGATCAGTCATAAACCTTTCCTTGGTTCTGTGAGGTCCCACACAAAATTTGAGCCCGATCGGTTCCGCCGTTTTGACGTTTATTGGATAAAAATGGAGACAGACTAGCAGCTAAGCAAAGTATATATATATATATATATACTAGGCTTTTAGGGCGCTTCGCGCCCATCTTCTATTTGAATTGTGAACATGTTCTTATTGTAACATTGAAAAACAAACAAACAAAATTTCGCTGATTTTATAATAATAAATTTGCGGATTTTAAAATTTTTTTCAAAAATGAAAAACTTTTAAACACAAATTTTTAAAATTTTTATCATTCATAAACCTTCCCTGGGGTCACGCAAGATCCCAAAAAATTTAGGCCCGATCTGTTTAGCAGTTTTGACGGTAATTGGATACAAATGCAGACAGACAAACAGCCAAGCAAAGTATATAAATAGATTGTTATTCTTCTCTTTTCTTAGTGCAAACTGTTGATAACTTTAGCAATGTCTTCCATCTAAAAATATTTGATTTAACAAATAATAAGTACAAAATTATTCCACAGTGAGATAAATCAAAATGTGGAATAGGAAGACGACTGTTAGACTCAAGTTATGATCTGATATAGTCCAATAAAGATGAAACACAGCAATTGTGCAGAGTCACTGTTTAGGTTTCTGTTTCTGTGTATGTCTTACCATTACCTTAGCCGATTTGCCTCAACTTTTATATGGGTGGCAGAAAAACGGGAATTTTCTTAGGATCAGTTTCAAGGCAAAGCTGGGTTCCCAAGCTAGTAACAGTTGCTTCATCGTCCTATTCAATAGTTTTCTGGGCCTCACTGTATTTACAAACTTAAACAAGCTAATTAACATGTTTTATTTTATTGTTTTTATTTTATTTTAACTAATCGTCAACGATCATTATTTATTTTTATTTTATCGGAATGAAACTAATTGAAGTTTAGTTTTGATTGCAGTACATGGAAGGAAGGATGTTGAGGATTATTAAAGTATGTATTTCAAAATTTCTGTCTCGAGAAATTGATATAAAATTGTGTCAAATTTATAAGAAAATCATATATATACAATTTTGTATGGAAATAGTAGGTTTAAACAGATTATATTCAGCAAATACGCAACCAATCTGAAAACGAAGATATCCCAGAGGAAGCTAATCCTTACTTAAATAATATTATCTATTATATCTATTAAAAAATAAAAATAAAAGTTATAAAATAATAATTAGAGAAAACCTAAGTTAGTTACAATTAGGTTTCTCTGGGATATCATCGTTTTCCGATTGGTTGCATACTTGCTAAATATGATTAGTTTAAACCACTATTTCTGTACAAAATTTATATGTGAATTTTCGTATAAATTTGACACAATTTTATATGAATTTCTCGAGACAGGAAAATCAGATATAACTTTCATGGGTCGCGATCAAGAGCTAAAGTGATTATCTTTCAGCCTATACCCCCTTTCATTTTTCTTATACAGTCCCTTTAAGTGTATTTGACGTTGTTACAAAACTTACTATTCACTTATTAAATCACTAATTAAGTGAAGTTGGTCTGTTTACACTGCACAATTGCAGCGTCACCGTGCTCATTGGACTATTTAATTTCATAACTTCAGTCTAAAAGTCGTCTTCCTATTCCAGAGTTGTCCTATCCTCACTGTATTAAACTGTAAAGTAAACCATTATCAGCTAACGAGGCGACCCCTAGTATTTTCTTCACCATTAAGTGTATACAATCTGATTTGGATGCCAAAGAAATGGCCTTTTTTCTAGGTGATTATTCTCGTCCTTGGGTGTTTACTGCCTCAGCTTGAGGCTCTTAGCAGGTGAACTATACTTTCGTCCTTTAAACATTTGGATATTTTTAACAGTGTGAACAGAAATTATTTCCTTTAAATTGTTACCAGCACAGTTTAGGTTTGATCAGAAAAAAGGGAATACAGTTGTACTTTCGACTCTGAAATATGTTTCAGTCAAAAAGTATAAATCTAAATGTAACATATTTGTTGTAACTTTAAAATCTTCTTTTAGTTATTAGAGCTTTCTGTTTTATTTCGTTAACGAAACCTTTTTTAACTTAAAAACCTTCCTTTTTTCCCTGGGACTTTGCTTAGCTCAAGTTTTTATTGTAAGAGTTAAAAATTATTAAAAGAAACACTTATTGTTTTAGTTTTATTTGACCATTCAAGGGTGTGATATAAGTTATTACATCAAATTTTGATCAGATGGGCAAATAATGAAGATAATTGTGATTAGGTCTGGACGTGTTGTCCTGCCTGACCCGCGTCGAAAGGGTAGATTTTACAGTGAGTTTAAAACTTTTAATAATTTCAACTAAATCTTAACTGTTTAACCCTATCCCTGCTGGGGTACTTGAAAACCAGGATACGCTGGTCAAATTGACCCCCCCCTCTAAATCCCATGTTTTATGTCCAAATATGACAAATGATACATCATTAGAAAGCTCTTGTGCTCTACTTTTAGAATCTGCAAAAAAATTTGCAAATTTGCGAAAATTGAATTTTTTATCGCAAAATCCAGTTTTATAGTAAAAATGTTTGCAAAAAAAAATTTGTCCAAAAAATGACAAATTATACATTTTTGAAAAGCCCTTGACCATGCCATTTCAAATATGCAAAAATTNAAACTATGAATATAAGGAAACTATGAATATAAGGAAACTATGAATATAAGGAAACTATGAATATAAGGAAACTATGAATATAAGGAAACTATGAATATCAGGAAACTATGAATATAAGGAAACTATGAATATAAGAAAACTATGAATATTAGGAAACTATGAATAGAAGGAAACTATGAATATAAGGCAACCATGAATATAAGGAGACTATGAATATAAGGAATTTTTGAATATAAGGAAACTATGAATATATGGAAACTATGAATATAAGGAAACTATGAATATAAGAAAACTATGAATATAAGGAAACTATGAATAAAAGGAAATAATGAAAATAAGAAAACTATGAATATAAGGAAACTATGAGTATAGGGAAAACAGTAATGAATTCCGCACAGTCGTCTCGGATCCTTTTTGGTTAACCCTGTACATTTAGAAAATCAATAACATTTGAATTTTGAAAAGGTAGACAATTTTCCTATTCTTGTTTATAGTGACAGACTGCGGGTCGCCAAACACTTTAGGGAAAATATGTTATACTAAGCCATGGAAATCAACTTGCATCAAAACGGTAAGAAGCTATAGAGTCACTTTTTGAAAAAACAATAAGCGTAATTTCAAGTACTCTCATTGCAAAAAAAGACATTACCCGATTTACAGCGTTACCTTTTAAACTTGTGATCAAGAATAATTAAATTAGATATTCATGTTTTTATTTTTTTAAACTGTTTATTTCATTTTCGGTTTCTTTGCTGCGAAAGTGACTTGTGCTTTTCTTGCTTATAAGAAGTAATGGAGAAATTTTTAGAATTAAACACTTTTCGAGTCAGAAACTATGTTCATTTTTTTTCTTGTAAAAAACCATTGCTAATTTGAGTCTTGACATTTCTTTTTGCTCTTTCTTTGATTTTTTTCTTGATTCTAGTGTTTCAATTGATATTTCTTACATTTAAATTAAATTTGATTAAAGTTATAAAATTTACTTTTTCTTCTGCTTTAGGAATACATGACAGCATGCATGGGTAATATTTTATTTATATTTACAGTTGTCGGCATTTATTTCAATACAATGATGAAGACTTTCTATTCAAGTTTTGCTTTCTAATCCAACACAAATAAATATGTTAATAAAGAAATGGAAAATTACATCAAAATACCAATTTAAGTTTTTCCTAAACCAAAACTTTTGTATTTACAGAGAATAGAGAGAAATAAAATAAAATTTGTCCATTCTTAGACACAAAATCAATGGTTGACAGAAGATTAAACACATATTGTGGAGACAAAGATACGGCTGGTCGTAAATGCCTTTTGGTAAGTTAAAAATTGTTTTACAGAGGTAACCAGAAAACAATGAAATGATTTTTCGTCTTAATTATTTCTTTTTTTTTATTAATTTCCCCAGACATTTTCTAACATCTTTATATAATTATCAAACAAATTAAGTTATAACAATTAGAAATTACAAATAATAAAAACCGTATAATTTTTTTCAATATTTTTGTCATTGAGTTATATTTTTTAGGGTGGATTTTGCCATGAAATTGGGAAAGCTAACTATCAGTGCATGCCATGGGCTGGTAAATATACATATGTATACATATTTACAAAATTCCCTTAAACCTCTACATAAGAACTTTTTAAATAAAAAGGGATTTAAAAAATTTGTTTTGATCCTTTTTTCCGTTCTTAAAGGGAGTGTTCGGGAAAATGAAAGGGGGTATAGGCTTAATGCGATAAAAAAGCGCTTTTAAACAGATAGAAGTAAGATCTGTGGCGATCAAAAGCGCTTTTTTATCTCATTAAGCCTATACCCCCTTTCATTTTTCGCGAACACTCCCTTTAAGACATTAAAAAACTTTACGATCTTATCGGAGAAACATCAAATAATGTTCAATGCTCATGGATTCAAATTTAGTCTTACGTTATCGGTACTTTGTTATCAGTAAAATATTGAATAATTCATTATAGATTTGACCCATTTTACTCCCCCCCCCCTCTTACGTTATCGGTACTTTTTATCAGTAAAATATTGAATAATTTATTATAGATTTGTCTGAAGGAACGTTATTACCAAACTTTTGGAACAAAAATTATAAAAATGTTAACGAAAAAAAAACATATTTCTTATCTTATTTCAGTTAAACCTGCGGCTAAAAGTACAACACCCAAACCTTCAACAGGACCAACTCCTGATCCAAATAATCTTCCAAGGTAATTTACTTACTGTTAGTCATGTGTTTGTTGTCTATTCTAGTAGTATGGCGGTAACATCTATCTTTCTATCTATCTCATTATCCAATTAGAGTTATGAATCCTTCAATCGGCGCTATCAGTAAATGGAAATATTAATTTCTACTGAAACTATAGTGGCACTCTAACAGTAGAACTGTGGAATAGAAATAATAAAGTTAGATTTTAATTAGTACATTAAAACACAACAACTGTGAAGTATTTACAGATTCATTAAGTATACTAATTAAACTGATTTTCAGAGATAAAACATTAGAATTATGGATATTGAGATCAATTCTTGATGTCCTTTTTTTGTTAATCTCAAGATTAATTTAATCTTCAGTTTGTATATAAGAAAATTATATAATATTCAACCAATAGAGTGGCTTATGCAGAATCCCGAACAGCCAATCAGAAGCCAGGAAAATTTGAAAGTTGAATGAAAGAACTCTCATTTGTTTGAATATGGTATTGAAATACAAAGAGTTAAAAAGAGCGGATTAAGCTGGAATTTAAAAGTGTCCCCATTGGATATTCAGATTAAGCGATCAGGTTTCAAAACTAGAGTTCCCAGCTCAGTCTTCTTCCTATTCCACAGTTTTATTAATGGTTACTTAAGAATGTTGTTTATTTGACATTCTTGATAAATAACATTATTTTTGAAGCTCTTAGCTTTTCAACAAGTGTAAATGGCCAATAATGGTATGAGAGGGTTAAGGATATTTAATCACAAAATCCTTAGCAGTGATTCCGCTTTTAAAAAATAATTCTATTGTATGTTTTAAAGGTACTGTAAAGGTTTCATAGAGAAGAATATCCGATTCACAACGGTACCCTTTAAAGCTGTTTCTAATCAAGAATTATTGAAATTTTCATTTATTTCTCATTCATAATTGATTATTTTCATAAGTGGTTTCTCTCCATCTGGATTTCTGAAAATTAAAACTAGAAAAAAAGACAATATATTTCTCATTGTTGATCAAAGGGTACCTTTGTGAATAGGGTATACTCCTTTTTTTTAAGAGAGTCACTTGAAATCCCAACAATTAGGTCCTTTTGGTATAAAGCTTTGACGTCGTTTGTATTCAATATATATTATTTGTTTAGGTCAGGCTAGGTTCTTGTATTCAATATATATTATTTGTTTAGGTCAGGCTGGGTTCTTGTATTCAATATATATTATTTGTTTAGGTCAGGCTAGGTTCTTGTATTTAATATATATTATTTGTTTAGGCCAGGCTTGGTTCTTGTATTCAATATATATTATTTGCTTAGGTCAGGCTGGATTCTTGTATTCAATATATATTATTTATTTAGGTCAGGCTGGGTTCTTGTATTCAATATATATTATTTGTTTAGGCCAGGCTGGGTTCTTGTAAAAGTAAGCGGTCGTCCTACCAGTAAGTATAAGTTTATAATACCAATGCTACATACAATAATTTATAATTAAAATTTTCCATTTAAAATCTATACATATATTCATCAGCAAAAGTTTGATATTAATCAGTGGCAATAGGCGCAATGTCATGCATGCCTTCATTTTGAGATTGGCACTTCCGACAGTAGCATTTAAACCTTTATCTGATCAAGGATGCCATAGTAATCTTTTTTTATCTTAAAGAATACCATTGTGAATACGAAATTCTACCATGTATGAATCAAAAGGGGTTTAGTTAATGAAATTTTTTATTCAAAACAAATGTTGAATATAATTCTGTAAACTCTTTTTATAAGATTATAGGTTAAAGTTTAAATCTGAAAAAAAAAAATTGGTTTATGGCACATTTCTTAAATCAATTTTTAAACATTTAACTTGCGGATTTTAAGAAACTTTGCAAAAAAAATGGATCCCATTTAACTCTACAGAGTCAAATTTTGACTCTATCAGGAGAACGACGAACGATCTTTATTTAAATTTTTGTCTTTGAGAATTTTTTTTACAGTGGTCGGCGATAATATCAATGCAATAAAGACGACTGGTAGGAGATTTTTAAGTTGCAAGTTTCTATGTAAACAAAAAGAAGCTGCTAACTGGAAATTTCTTTTTTTTTACATTGTTATGTGTCTCTGCTGGTTGAAAGCTTGGAAGCAAACACAAGTTAAAATAAAAAGTTGTCTATTTTGTCTTGAAATTTACGACGATGATTGTATAGTGCACATTGATACCCAAAACATCTTTAGATGTTTAAAAAATGTTTAAAATAGAACTTCAATGTGGAGAGCCTGGTTCCAATGGTGCTGAATGTGTACAAAATGAATCTGGTAGAATTTGCAGAATAACGGTAAAGACTAATTTTACAAAAATTATTTTTCTTGATTGGAACATTATTGAGATTTTGCCCAAACTCTGATTTTATAACCCCAATATCTTTGCAACCCAATGTGGTAGACCTTGATAGTTCAAACTATAAATACTTTTCGATTTAATTTTCTAATTGTGAAAGGAATTGAGTTTTTTTCCACAAACTTAGATTTGTAATCCTTATATCTTTGCAACCATTTGTCATAGACCTTTGATATTTCATACATTAAATTATGTTAGATTTAATATTGTGAGTTTGAAATAACAAAGGTCTACGCCATCAGGTTGCAAAGATATAGGAATTCAAATATTTAAGTTTGGGGCAAAAGCTCAATTTCTTTAAAATGTTTACCATCAGGTGGCAAAGACTCAAATCTTTTATGCTTGCATTGCATGCCCTGTGTGCACTGTGTGCATATGTATTCCAAAAAGAACCAAAATCAGTAATGTACATAAAAAGATTTCCTACTTTTCCAGGCTGATCAGAGCGCATGTGTTTATGGTATGTCTTATTCTGTACATTTTTATTCTAATCTGACAATTTTAATTTTTAAGATTTTATTTTTATTATTTCTATTTTTATCAATGTTGCAAATAGAAGACAAATTAGCTTTAAGAACTAGTGTACTAGTGTACAGTGTAGAATGATTACTAATTGTTTTTATCAATGATATTTAAGACCAACACGAAATAGCAAAATATGGTAAATTGTTTCATAAATCGTTTAAGTTTACATATCTTTTCAGAGCTGGAAACTTTTGAATGGTGGATATCGGGAGTAATGCTAAATCTCCTCTTTTTCTTAATCTCCAGATTAAATAATGCTTGTTCTCCTCTTGTTATTAATCTGCCGATTAATTAACCGATCGGGATTAGGGATATCCCATTCTAAAGTTCCCAGAGCTGAACACTTTAGAATGGGATATCCTTAATCCCGATCGGTTAATTAATCTGGAGATTAATAACCAAAGGAGAACAAGCATTATTTAATCTGGAAATTAAGAAAAACAGAGGATCAAGCATTAATCCCGATATCCACCATTTAAAAGCTCATACTAAACATTTTGCCGTTTATGTATAAGAAAACTTATACACAACACCGTACAATCTTGAAATATGTTAAACATTTAGATTTAAAAATATTATCAATTTATATTTAATAAAAAAACAATTTAAAAAAATGTTTAGAAAGATCATCTTTGATAAAGCCGAATTTACATTGTGGTGACAAAGGCACCCTAGGACAAACATGCATAAATGTAAGAACATTTAAATTAAACTATAATTTTTGAAATTTTTATATCAATTTTCAAATGTTAAATTTTAGAAAGGAGTTTGCTCTATATACGGAAAGAAACATTATTACTGTTTAGGTCAGTTTTAAGATTAATAAATATAAGATTATGGGAGCTAATCCTTTGTGACTTAGTTTTCTGTTTTGATGAAAAAGCTGATAAGAAGTTAATGGGATTCTAAACGTATTATTAAAGTTGCTCTCCATCAAAAGAGTGGCATTTTTCGACTAAAAAATAAGGATAACTCATTCATCCTTTATCGTGTAATCAGATCATTGAAAATGTTTTTTTTTCAGAAATATTTTTTTTTTCAGCTCCACCCATAGTGGATCGTCCTGACCTTAGTCTGCTTCCAAGGTAAGAAAATGGATTGTTTCCCTAATTTAGTGAACCAATCTTAACATTAAAGGGACTGTTCCCCTAATTTAGTGAACCAATCTTAACATTAAAGGGACTGCTCCCCTAATTTAGTGAACCAATCTTAACATTAAAGGGACTGTAAGCGAAATTTTAAGTCACCCTCATGAAAATATGAAAATGCCCGATTCACAACGTTACCCTTGAATCTTTTTTCTGATCAGTAAGGTGGAAGAAAATGTAATTTTTCCTGGTTTAAAACTATAATATTTTGATAATTCCTATATGTTTTCCTGCAGTAGAAATGCGCACGTTGTAAAACCACAATTGAAAGTAATACGTTTTTATTTTTACGAACTTTTATATTTGACCAGACAAAGCATTAAGAATTCCATTGTGAATCGGGTATTGCCAACTTTGCGTGGAATGGAGGGTACACTCAGCTATTTGAAACAAAATAACATTGTGTTCAAGTTGTGTTGTGCATTTTGTCCAAATCATACATATAGACCTATAAAATGATGGAATAAGAAGACGACATCTAGACAATCTAGACCAACTTATTTTTCACAGTTTTATGGGTCTGATTGCAGAAACATTGAATAATCATTTAGGACTGGAATGGTAGCACTTGTATTAGGTGGTAGACCAGCTAGTAAGCATTATAAATTAATATATTAAAATCTATTAAATGATGAACTGAATACTAGTCTCAAACTCACAAATCCAAACTTTGTTGCAACCTTTAACTTTTTAATCTGGTTTATGATTTAATTATGGTTTTCATTCAATCTGTTCCAGCCCGGCCAAATTAGAGTTTGAGTCGAATAATGTATTCTAATTCCGGACTACATAGTGCCGACGAAATTCCACATCAAAACATGTTAAGAATTATCTTTTTTTAAATTAAATCTTTTATCTTATTATTTTAGGGATTGATTGTGGAAAACCTGGAACCAATGGACTTAAATGTTTGGAAAGCGGACGAACCTGCAGAATAACGGTAACATATAATAATTTCAAAATATTTCTTAAGTGACTGTTTACGACAAACTAGAATTGTTTAAATAGTTACATGTCAGATTTACCATTGTGTCCTTTAAACCTTTAACTGAAGATTTTACTTTATGTACATTGATTATTTCCAATTATGGGTTGAAAAATCAGTAGTAAATCATCACTACCAATATTTGTTCTATCAGATGTCCTTGTCTCGAGAAATTTATTGAAAACAAAGTTATATATTCATACCCTTTCATTTTTCATTAACATTCCATTCAAGACCGAGAATTTTTTCAGTAATCTTTTTTTCATTGATTGAAAATTGACTAGGAGTGTTCATGCATCTTACATTATTTTTCTGAATACCATTGAAACTTAGCTTGAACAAAAATAATAATTATTATTATTGCATAGGCTGGCATGTCTGCGTGTGTAATTGGTATTTATGTCTTTTTATATTTTTTTTATATGATTTATTGATTACTAAGAAAAATAGTGGATTAACAAATTATAAACAACCCTTATGATAACATATCATCATGTCTTATGTTTACAATAATTGTTAATAAATTTTCTATTTTCAGAATCTGCAACAATAATAAAACCGAATTTATATTGCGGTGACAAGGACACCCTTGGTCAAAAATGCTTAAATGTAAGACAATTACATTTTATTTTTATGGGAAAAGAGATGTTTTATGTTTTTTAACCCTATTCCCGCTGGGGGGGGGGGGTCAATTTGACCCCCCCCTGTAGTTTTTTCTACATAACTCAAAAAGTATTGGTCTGAGGCTGTTGAAATTTTCTGACTTTTCTTACATACCCAAAGCCCTCCCTTTAGGCCTTAAACCGGGCTTTAATACTAACTGCCTGAGTCCTCAGGCACACTGCCTGAATGACTGCTTTTGCCTGTAGCAAACTAAATCTTTGTTTTGACCCACTTTCACTTGTCAGATTTTGATAAAATTTAGCTTTTTGGAAAGCCTATGACATAAGGAAACGGATTGCACAAGTTTTGCGAAAAAAAATTGCAAATTTTTTGCAAAAAACCTGTCAAAGGAAATTTGCACATTTTTAGTTTTTCTTGATTAAAAATCAGGTTATTTAAAATTTTGCAAAAATGTTTGCATATTTGAAATGGCATGGTCAAGGGCTTTTCAAAAATGTATAATTTGTCATTTTTTGGACAAATTTTTTTTTGCAAACATTTTTACTATAAAACTGGATTTTGCGATAAAAAATTCAATTTTCGCAAATTTGCAAATTTTTTTGCAGATTCTAAAAGTAGAGCACAAGAGCTTTCTAATGATGTATCATTTGTCATATTTGTACATAAAACATGGGATTTAGAGGGGGGGGTCAAATTGACCCCCCCCCAGCGTATCCTGGTTTTCAAGTACCCCAGCGGGGATAGGGTTAAAATCTCTTTCTAAAATTTTTTTCGGTTGGAAATAACTTAATCCTTACATATATTTTTTTGTGCAGGGGGAGGTGGGATAATAACGTCTACGTCGATGTAAATCATTCCAAGTACAGACTATATTATTAATACATATCTATATTTCGAGGAAACATGTATCACTGTGATCTAAAGGCACGACAAAAGGGAATTAGTGCAGTCAAATCTAAAGCCAAAGCTTTGAGACACTTTAAAGTAAACCGAGTCATGAAAATTCACGTAACTTTTAATAGCAACCTTTTAGTTCCCAGTTTGTAATGTATCGCCCGGACATTGGGTGTAAATAAAGCAGACACTCAATAGGACTTTAGGTTGAATTTCCTTTTACTAATGGGTCAGGGGTGTGTGTACCTTGAAACTTCTCATGCACTTTCAAAAGGGTTATTTTTTTATTTTCCTTTTTGGGGGCGGGAAATTTTCTGAAAGAGTACACCCCCTCCCCCTTTTTTTATACCTGCAACATCAGTGGTACTATGTTTCTATGTTTACCTATAACAATTTATTTTCTACTTCAGATTCGCCCAAAGCCCCAACAAACGATGCTAAGCAAGATTATTCCATACGAGGTGAGCACAGTGTAAATACGACACCGCAAAATAAAGCTAGACATTACCGCTGTTAGGTTTTAAACAGATTTTTTGCCTCATTTTACTTTATTAACATTTGTAAATTAATACTTTTGGATTTCATCTATATCAACACTGGAAAAACCTTTGGACTGAATGTATGGCGATGAGGGGTGATCAATATTGGAATTGAGCCAACCACCCACCAGAGGTCTGTGCATTTATCTTAAAAAATATTGCAATCCAATATAAACTTCAAAATCGTCTATGGGGTTGCGATTTCATGATTTAATATCGGTGTTATCACCGAAAAGCCCCTCCCACATTTTTTTTTTATTTTCATGTTACACATCATTTTCTTGGAAATTTATGCTGAGTTTAAGTATGAAAAGCGCTTTTAAAAAATTCAAAATTGAATTACTTTTTTAGCCATAACTTCTTAAAATTTTTATATTTTAAATTTTTTCAATAAAAATTTAGCATGAAATTTCTAAAAAAATTATGCATCATATGCAATTTTGAGGCCTTTCTATGATTTTTCCGATATTAAATCTTTAATCTGCAACTCTATGCTCGATTTTAATGTTGTTAATTGCAATATTTTTTTTAAATAAAAACGCAGCGACCTCCAGTCGGTGGTTAGCTGATTTCTAAAAAAAGTCACGAATCAATCACCCTTAACGGCGATGCTGTTTATTTTTCTAATTCTTTATACCATAAAGTAATCATAACTCCTGAAAGACTGAACTAAGACTGCGTACATGTTCATCTTTTAAAGTTTCAAAAATAAAGGAATTGAGTTTTTGCAACAAACTCTGATTTTCTAATTTCAATATCGTTGCAACCCAATGTCGTAGACCTTTAATATTTCAAACTATGAATGCTATTAGATCAAAAAAATTAAGTTTAAAATATCAAAGGGTCTTTATCATAAGGTTGCAAAGATGTAGGTTTTACAAAAACTGAATTTGTGGCAAAGACTCAGTTCCCTTGGCTAGGATAAATAACAAAAGCGATACTTAGATTTTAGTCTTTTAAATATGTTGAAATTCAAAACATATTTTTACTAACATTAAAATGCAATTTATTTCAATTTATTTTCTAAAAGTAGCTCTGAACACTCTAAACACTCTAAACACTCTAAACACTCTAAACACTGTAACTGTTTTTTTTTTTATATTTAAGGTTAAATCTAATGAGGCTGCAGGACAGCTCTGTGTAAATAAATCATTAAAATTATATATTTTTTTCATTTTAAGAAATAAACTTTATTTTCTATTTCAGATTCGTTCAGAGCCCCAATTCGTTCTAACAACCTAGGAGGTCGAGAGATCATCAGAAATAATGGAGATTTTAATAGTGTGCATAACAATCCCTTGGGTCTTTCAGGGTGGCAACCCTCCGGAAATAGTTTTCTGTAGGGGGAGAAAAAAAGAACAGTTCTTCCATTGTATTTATTTTGTCTCAAATGTAAAGCACTATAATGTTGTCATATAAAGATGGTATGAAATAAAGGAAATCTAAAGCCTGAAAAAGGATGTGAGTAAATCTACCAGGAGTATAGGAAGGATGTGAGTAAATCTACCAGGAGTATAGGAAGGATGTATTTACAAGTTAAAGATAAAAAATAAAAATGATGTTGGCCAGGTTAGCCAGGTTGGCCAGGACATTTGGAGCAGACAAGTTTTTGCCGAGGGACTTTACATTCATCTTTATCATGACATGCTTCGCACTTGTATCAGCTTTTCAGCTTACAACCTCTGATAAAATGTGGACCACAACATTTCTAACATTTTACATCTATTGCATTCAACTTTGAGTTGTTGGTACACGTTGTGAATTTGCCAGCCCTTCCACAGTGGAGATTATCAACAAAACTTCATTCATACTGTAGCAAGACGCTGGACTAAAAGCATCCTCGCATGACACCCTGATTTGCTCCAAGTACATTGGGACACTTTCTCCTGAGGTTTGAGTCTAGGGATGTTAACGTTTTCATTTTTTTGAAAAACGATCGTTTCGTTATGAAAACGACGACGAAAAGTCGAAAACGAAACGATCGTTTTTAAAAACGATCGTTTTTTTTTTAAAAGTTCGGCCCCCAAGCCCAGAAATTGTCTTAACCTAACCTAACCTAACCGTAAAATAATACAAAATAAAAATCTTGAACTATTTTTTTGTTCATATGAACTATTTTTTTGTTCATATGAACTATTTATTTTTCATTTGAACTATTTCATTTAAACTATTTCTTTGTTCATTTATAATCTATTCTTTTTTGTTCATTTGAACTTTTTTTATTTTCATTTGATCTGATTTATGTTAATTTGAAATTTTTCTTTGTGTTTAAACTATATCAATTTAATTTTATGGCCTAACTTCATGAACTATAACAAAACTGAATTTATAGAAAATTAGTTCAAATGAACAAGTAATGTGTTGATTTGAACTACAGGATATGATTTCATGTCAGTAGTTCAAATGAACAATAGTTCAAGCAGAAGTAGCTCAGACATGTATCCACCGTGGATAAGTACTTTTAAAAAAACATTGATTTAAATAAGTGAATCTGTTTTAAGTAAAAAATGAAACTTACTAATGAAAGAAATGTACAACATCGGTAAGATATTTTATTCACTGGTTGTTTCACAGAGTAAAATTAAACAAAATTGAGTTAACAAAGCTCACATATGGTTTTATAAACAAACATTTTTTGCATCAGCTTGGTATTCATGCAGAAATATCATAAATATTTGCGTTTTGAGGGTTAAATTTTTAAACATTAAAGAACACAAAGCCCTGTCGTTACTATTTTATCAAAAGAGGCATTTTTGAGAGATTAGCAAACCTTAGTTGTATATATTTCATGTATTTAGTTGTATTTATTTCATGTATTTAGTTGTATATATTTCATGTATTTAGTTGTATATATTTCATGTATTTTTTAAATGTTGAACATTTCCTTTCATGTATTCTTTATTCTTAATTATCTTTACTTCTTCTTAAACATGTTTAAAAATGACCGATAACAGTTTGATCAGCCGTTTTGACGTTTATTGGATACAAAGAAACAGACACTCAAACAATAAAACAGTTCCTATTGAAGGAAAAAAATAATAAAACCAAATTTATATTGCGTAATTCATGTAAAGAAACACATATCAAAGTGATCTAAAAAATCTATGAGAACTCTGCCAATTACTTTTTTAAAACCACAGCCATAAACAACTGTTTAATATTTCTACAATGTACATGTCCAGGGCCACACAAAAAGGTGAATTAGTGCGGTAAAATCATAAGTCAGGACGTAGAGACACTTTAAAAAAGTAATATATTCTTTATTTTAGATAGACGTTGAAATTCAACCTATGAAGGTATAATCAAGCATTAATTTGAAATTAAAAATATATTTATTTTTATTGATTGTTTTACGTCTATATAATCTCAGAACTTGATTCCTTGATTGTTTTACGTCTATATAATCTATTTCAGGTAAAAGAAGGATGTTGTGTCAAAAAACCTTTGCTAAACTTTTATAGGATAAAAATATACACGGCTTTTATACAAATTTTAAATAGATAATTGTGTCTACGCCAAAAATTTAATAAAATTGAATATATTTCAATTTTTTGAAGTCCTTTTACATGTTTAGTATTGCTTTTTACAGGGTGTTCGTATACACCTGAGCGTTGAGAAACAACTTTAAGTGACAGCAAAATGTAATTTTAAGAGACCTTTCAGTTATAGATTGGCATGTCAGATTCACAACAGTACTCGTAAAATCTTTATCTGGTCAATTATAAATATGAGAAAATGTTGTTAATTATGGTTTCTCTACAAAGTGTCTTGCGCATTATACTGCAGGAAAACAATGTAGAAATTATCCGAACTTTTCAAGCAAAAAATATCTTCCATTTTATTGATTATAGTTAACGATTTCAAGGGTACCGTTGTGAATCAGTCATGTCTCTTTAAAGATCTTTATTACGCAATGGTAAATTAAGCTGGTAAGCCGTACTCCCTTTTAAGATTTACTTTTTATTCATAGATAGATCTCAAAGATCACCGACGAAATTATCTCTCATGGTTAGGTATATACCCTGTAGGCTGTATCTAAGGTTTTCAAATATGTATGCACGAAGCTGAGAATTAATTATTATTTGGTTTTCTCATAATAATGTGACAATGGGGTTAAATATCCCCACATGATTCCTGTATTCCCANCCCATCCCACCATCCTGGCAGCACTCTCTCACCTGGCCCAGGGACTATTGGCAGTATTGTCCCAGGATATCTTATCATAATCTACATCTTATAAACATGCCTATCTATCATCTATCTATCTATCATCAAACATCTATCTATCTATCTATCTATCTATCTATCTATCTATCTATCCAGCTCATTAAATGATCCTGTTCCTTGCTTATCTGCTTTATCCTTCACTACCAGTATCTTCTATATATCTTACTAGAAGTAGAAGTACGGCTGATAACAATAATAATGATGATAATTAATAATAATAATAATTACAACGATAAAAATTAAATCAAAATAATAAGGATAATGTTGAATAATTGTTAAATTCTAGAATTTTTCGTTAAACTCTATACATCTGTCTACATACATACAGTAGCACTTGTTGTTTTTCAGTTTTGTGCGATCATAACTTAGGAACTTTTTGATTGCTTTAAATTTATAATTGTGATGTTCTCAGCTTGGTTTAAAATCCTAAATTTAGTTAGTGACTTATTTAAAAAAAACTTGATTCATAATATTTTTTAAACCAATTTTTTTCACCTTTCTTACTGCAAAAGACAATAATAGTAATATATGGGAATATTAATTAAAAACTTGTTTAAATATGTTTACCCTTAGGAATATATTTACGTACGTTCATCTCAGCAAGTGTTTTATAGATTTAAGAGATAAAAGCAAAGACAGGACATTCTGTATTTTTATACCGGAAATTCCATTCTTCTGACTAATGATAGACGACCCTGAAAATGTTAACGTTTTTATTTTTTTTCGAAAAACTATCGTTTCGTTATGAAAACGACGACGAAAAATCTAAAACGTTCGTTTTTTTTTTAAAATGGTCGTTTTGAAAAACTATCGTTTTCAAAACGATAGTTTTTATAAAACTCGTCGTTTAGTTGACGATCGTTATCGACGACCCTTTGTTAACGATCGTTAACAAAAAGAGGAAACCGACCTAAAGGGCATCTATGCTTATCATTGAGTAGTTTTTAAGAAAATATCAAGAAGCTTTAGACCCCCCCAAAACCGATTTTTATAAAGTTTATCGTTTAGTTAACGATCGTTAATGACGACCCTTCGTTAACGATCGTTAGCATAATTTTCAATAATTTTTTTTTCAAAAGCGATCGCTTTTTAAAAAACATTTGTATAAAAAAACGGTCGCAAATTGTTTTAAAAAAAGATCTTTTTCAAAAACGATCGTTATTCGTTTTAAAACGATTGAAACCCTGGCTGTAACCCCCCTCCTCACCTTTACTTGTGCCATGTTTTCCTTCTTTTCCCCTTTCTTCTCTAAGTGCTGAAATGCATGCAAACGTGACTTGTCATTTTGGCAAAATTTGTTGAATTTAAAGAAATGAAAATTTCGGAGCATCTACGCTACGTTCTCCGGTATGAGACGTCTTTAACAATTTTCTCCTTATAGACGCAACAGATAGAAGTAAGATTAGTAGCGATCAAAAGCGCTTTTTTATCGCATTAAGCATATACCCCCTTTCATTTTTCGCGAACACTCCCTTTAACAAAGGAACAAAGTTCTTGACACAAACTCGAATTTTATACAAATATATATATATATATATATACACACATTTATATATACAGGGTGTCCCAATAAACATGGAAATTCAGTGACGAATTCGATATCGTCTTTTTAAATAATTCTTTGATTTAGTATAGTGATACCTACTAAGAAAGCGTAATCCGTAAGATTTTCGTCTGCTATGTTTACAATTTGTTTGTTTTTGTTTTGACTGCATACGGTTGTACTTAGTAAAACAAGAATATTACGGTATACAAACAGAGTAAACTTGTCCGTCTTCACTGTTCATCTTGCGGAGACATTATAGACATACTTTACAGCCATTTACCTTTTTTATCAAATAAACTATAGCAGACATAATAATATTATGGTTTTAGAAATCAGGTATCACAATGATAATTCATAACAAAGACGATATCGAATTCGTCACTGAATTCCCATGTTTATTGGGACACCCTGTATATGGGCGAAGAGCTGTATTATATATTGACTTTATGTAGATTAAAAATTCTTTATTTTCAATTACTAGTAAATTAGTTGGTGATAAAAAGTAATTTTGTAAAAAACGTAATTTCAAACCTCATTTTTGGATTAACTTCCTTCAGTTAATGTGTTTATGTATAGACCTAACGAGACAATGTAGAGTATACAGATAGATGCAGTTTAAAGTGACAATTCATTTTTTTTTTAACTTCTACAAAACTGGTTTTATCTGCATTTTGACAATGTAAC